GAAAGCACAAAATTGGTGTTTTCGGGATTTGCAAAGGAACGCGGAGAAGATGTGCTTCTGGGAAGCTGCAGCACGTTTGAGAAGCTGGCCCATTTGGTGCAACTTGTGTTTTTAGAACCAAAAAACTCTTTTCACAATCTACACCAAACATGCTCTAAATCATTGGTAAAAAGACACTTTCCTACTAGTATGGCTAGGGTTCAAACCATCAGTCTTCTCCCTGCCCCTTTTTCCTAAGAAAGTTTCAAGCATTTGGCCTATTTAATAAAAAAAAATACTTTGATTGTAAAAACTTAGGGTGAGTGAAGGTTATGACAATTCAAATTTAGGGCATGCCACCGGTCTAACTGTCTAAGTGAGAATTTATAATAGAATTTACAAATTATCTATCTACTAATTGGCCACAAACTTGAATCGAAGAATGCGGTATTGGAACATTTGAACCTTTCTCTTTTTTTGGGATGTATCACTGGTTAAGAGCCTAAATTATATGTTGAAAATTTTAGATTTGAATCTGAAAATATTAAATTTGAATCTTAAAATGAGTAGAGAGAGATTTGAGAACTTACCTTGTGAACTTCTCAAACGATATTTGACCAACAACTCTATAGGGTGTTTAGCAAAACTTAGAGCATATTTGGTAAAACTTATAAAAAAAATTTTTTTTATTGTTTATGAATGATAAATTTAAATTTTTATTAAGGGAAAAAATTTAAAAATTATTTTTAGAAATAAAAAAAATGAATAAAAAGTGAGTAAAAAAAAGTTTATAAAAAGTACGTTTATAAAAACTACAAATTTAAAATTTTTCAAAATTTATTATCTAAGATTTTTTTTTAAAGTTAAAAAGAAGTTAAAAAAATTTAAATTTATAAAATATGAATAGTGTCAAAAAGTTGAAACTCTTACAAATTTCACTAAACATACTTTTAAAAAGCACTTGCTTTAAAAGTAAATTATCTTTTCACAAATTTAAATTTTTGTTAGAGTGAAATTTCAAAACATGATTTTAATTAAATTTGGAAAAAACTTGAATGTGTAATTCTCTCAAAACTTGCTTAAAAATTCATTTAAAATCTAATTTTTAGTCAACAGCCTAAGTAATTCAGTGATAATCTCTTACCGCTGAATGTAAGAGGGGGAGAGGGTTGCCTTCTGTTGTGTAACTAACATAAAAAAAAGTATAATTTTTAAATTTCTCTCTAGCAAAATTTTAAATTTGTGAAAAAGAATTTATTTTTAATATGCTATTTAGATTAACTTTTTTGAAATAACTAATAGTTTATAATTAATCTCTAATGATTAATAATTATATCAACGATTTGTTAATTTAAATAAAAAAAGTTTGATTTCCCTAAAATAAAATTTTGAGTTCAAGTTTTGTAAACAAAAAAAACTTTCAAATAGTAAGAAATTAGTGCTAAAAAAATAATTATTAATATTTATAATTTAAAATATTTAATATATTTAATTAAAAAAAGCCACTAATAATTATTTTTAATAAGTTAAAATAAACACCTATTAAGATTTTGCCTAAAACCCTCCTAAAGTCCTAAGCCAAACAACAGGTTGTGCCAGGGGCACTTAAGTAATTACATGGAAAGAATCCTCTTCAATTGAATGTCTCGAAGGGTTAATCCTCTTTTCTTAGTGCTTTATTCAAAGCTTCTGATCTCCAACTCTGCTTCAGGTAAAATTACCAAAGGTTAGATCCATCTGCTGCTCTTCCATGTCTGATTTAATTCGCTGTTTTCAATTTCTGCATCAGTCTTTTCCTATAGGGTTTGGTTCATTCGCTGCAGACATGAACTTTTGGTTTTTGGGTTTGCTATATCGTGTATCATCTGGTAAAGATCGGATTTTTTTTACGACGTCTCTGATTAGGGTTTATGTATTTGTTCTGGTAATCTGAAATTTATCCCAGTTCCTTCTTCTCTCGAGCTTTTGTATTGATTGCCTGCTTTTTAGTGTTGGGTTCTTAGGATAGGATTTAAGTGTTGTTAATTCGAGGTGTTTTGGGATTTTTATGATCAAAATTATTTAATCGGGATTAATTAATTACACTAATTATGTGTTGAGATTATTGGGCAGTCCAGATTGAGTACGGATTACCCAAGTTACTGGCGATAATTTGGAGGAAATCTATTTGAGGATTTTGAGGGTGTGAAAGAGAGAGAGAAGTATAATTATTTACTTCAGCATTGAACATTAATGGGTTTGTTTCATGTGGATGATGACATTTGGGACATTTAAGAAGAGATTGATGATACCAATTCTGCTAATGCAAATTCATGTTTCATATGTTTGATGAAGAACTTGAATTTGATTTAGTCATTACTTGAGAATTATTATTATTATTATTATTATTATTATTTTGAAAAGGCCTATCTTTATTCTTTAAAAAAGTAAAAATTCCGCATTAGTGAAGCATGCATATTCTTTTTCTAATAGCTATTGCAAGGATTTGAATCCCCTAAACTTGATCCCGAAGTCAATGTTTTTGAAGTTAGCAAACACCAACTGGGCCAAAGCCCTTTTTGGTATCTAATGCCGCAGTTTGCGACAGAAGATTTTATTAAAAAAAAAAAACGACTGAAGTTATTGCAAAGACAAGAAATAAGGAAGTCATTCTTTCAACTGCTAAAGATTTTATAATCTTTTGATTGAAGGGCCTTGTGATTTTGTGTTCTGCCCTTTTCTTATGTTTGGTTTATGTTTTCCCTTTGGAGAATATATCCATTGATCTTATGGAATCTAGGAAAATTATGGAGGCAATGACTCCAAATGATTTGGAGTTAGGGTTTAGTTGAATTGGGTTGTGTTATGATTTGTTAACTGCCTACCACCATAAAACAGATATATTATTTTGATCACATCTTACTTTATTTTGGTCTTGCTCATAATTTCTCTACTAGTGATAATCTTCCTCTCAAATCACCATGTCTCTGCAATACTAACACTTAAGCATTTTGTACCTAGTTTAGGTTGAGAAGTAATGGGAAAGGACTCAAAACCAAAGGAAGGAGGAAAGGGTAAGGGAAAACAAGCTGCAAGTGGAAGTGATGAGAATGCTTCAAAGGGTAAAGGGAAAGCTGGTAAGGGAGGAGGTGGTAAGGGAGGAGATGGTCTAGGTACCTGCACTTATGTTAAAGGTATCTTGTCTACTTTGCCTGTTCTGTTATATGCTTGTTGTAATGTAGCCTTTCTACCCTTGCCTGCTTTCTTCCTCCTCTTTATTTTATTTATTTATTTATTTATTTTTTTCCATTCCGTTAGCAAGGCATATCTTATGTGAAAAGCAAGGGAAGATCAATGAGGCATACAAGAAGTTGGAAGAGGGCTGGCTTGGCAATGGAGATAAGGTTCCACCAGCTGAGTTTGCAAAGGTGAAGTATTGTCAAGATAGTGTGACAGCAAGTAATTGGCCAATGTAGTGTTGATGCAATCTAATGATTTTCTATGGTTTTTGTTTGGTAAATCATTTGGAACATCTTTCAATACTCAACACTGACCCACCTAATACGGGAGTGGTTCCTTAAACATACAGTTATGGCTAGGACTTGGTGTTGCCCAAAATGTGCTGAATTTCTTGTTTCTTTTGGGTATTCATCTATGTTTTCTTGGTTTCCTTTTTCAGATAGCTCAGGAATATTCGGAGTGTCCATCAGGGAAGAAGGGTGGAGATCTTGGATGGTTCCCTCGTGGCAAAATGGCTGGTCCATTTCAGGAAGTTGCTTTCAACACACTTGTTGGAGCTACAAGTGCACCTTTCAAATCTACGTATGCATTTAAATTTCTTTATGTTGATAATTGATTCATAGCATCTTATTTCTAAGGCTCAAACAATTGCTTATTTTCCTCTTCACATTGCAGACATGGCTACCACATCATTTTGTGTGAAGGGAGGAAGAATTAATCGAGCCAGAAAAATTACCGAGCGCAGAGATGTTATATCATGTGGATATCAAACATATAAATTTAGTTTACTTTGGGTGGTGCTATAATGATTCTGCATGTCTGAATATCATGTTTGAATTTATCTAGTACTTTATTCGGTTAAGCATTTGAGAATTAAGGTGAAATTGGCATTGACCAATGCTATTCTGGGCTGTTAGGACTACATGGGTGCGTGTGGGACTGGAGTTGTGGGTTTTTTCATATAACTTTTAAATATATGCATGTTTAATAAATTTTTTTGGATTACTCTTTTTAAAAATCATAGAAAGCTACATTAATTTTATATATAAAGTTAGAAGTTTTATTTTAGAATTTTCTACTTTTGGTTTTCATAGATAAAACTTAATATTTAATATAATTATAAAATTACTCATTAAAATTTAATTTGATTTAATTTAATTATATCATAATTTATAATATTTTATTTAATTCTAACTTTTCATTTATTTAAAAATTTTATAAAAAAAATTAAAAATTCATTTTCCTTTTATAAATTGCTCTCTTGTAAAATCTAAAAGAATATTTATCATAAAAAAACTTTAAAAAACCGAAATATTGAAAGATAGTAAATATTATTAAGAAATAAATAATTAAATACTTTATTAACTTTTAATTATACTTACAACATAGTCACAATTATAATCGTATTGCTTCACAACAACACCCAATTATAATCCTAACGTTTCACAACAACACCCAGTACCTTATAACTTCAAAAATTGACAAAAAAAAAAAAAAACTTACAATTAATTTATCTAATGAAATTACTAATTTGTGTTTTTAAAATTGATTTGATATTTGAGGTTTCTAGCATGTGCATAGGAGGTTATCAATTGTGCTTTTATGCAATTAATTTTTATAGAGAAAAAAAAAGAGTTAATCTATCATGTGCCTTTAGGAAGCAGAGAATGAGCATTAATTACATAATAATAATTATTTTTTGTCTTAAAAATGATAAAGTTAATCTTTTTTTATTTTTGTTATAAATATCATGTGTTAGATTTTGATTGATTAATTTTAAATTAAAAATCAAAAGTTATTTTTTTAATATAAAATTTTATTTTTTTCAAGAAAAAAAATTATAATTATTACTTAATAATGATTCCTTATCATGTGCCCCTTAAATCAAAAGAAAGACAAATCCAAAGAAAAATGTAAGCTAATTTTATTAATCTTAAAATTTTTTAAGAATTGACCGAAAATGTATTCAATTTACAAACTAACCAATTAAAATTTAGTAACTAATGAGTAAGGTTAAATTTAATTTTATTAACTAATCAATTAAAATTTATAATCTCCATTTTAGTGGCAGTGAGAAATCAAGTCCCATAACATATTAAGTTATTAACATATTAGTGTAACATATTAGTGTGATGGGTTACAAGATAAAAGATAATTGCTTTTTATTATATAATTTAAGAAAAAAGAGAAAGAAAAAAAAGAAACAAAAGAATAAACAGAAAATTTCAAGGATGAAGCATAGTTCAGTAGCCAATAAATGGAATTTAGAATTAAGGAAGCTACACGCTGCAACGAGACATTGGACTACATTCTACGACAAAAAACCAGCCCTGCAATTCAGGACTCACTCTCACCGTCTACGAGCTTAAGACCCCAGCTCATATCTTCACAGTGCCTCACATGAGGAACCAGCACACCTGTGTCAATTCCCTTTTTGGCCTTGCAATCATAAAAGGGAGGTGCATGAAAACAAGGTTCCATTGACATGGCTCGACGACAGGGTGGATCTGGGGCAGTTTGATTCTCTGGCTTGTAGAGTATCCATGGCTTCAACCCTCCAAGACCTTGAGCAACATATCCAAAAGTTGACCAAGAGCTTGTGATTAACACATCAGTCAAGCTAAGTAGATACATCTCTGCCAATGCCTTCCTGTTGTGCATGTGCTTCTCTGTTTGCTGGTACTCTTCGTGGCTTGGCTGGTAAATACCTATCACCTCCCCCGTCACAGTTGGATGTTCCCAGTACATATCCCTCACTTTCTCAAAGTATCCAGAGCTCAAAGATGTCATCAGTACAGCTTTAGATTTCTCAGACTCACTGATTATCAGCGTTTCCTTTCCAATCTTGGGAAGAAGATTCCCCTTCAAGGCACAAGCAAGAATCTGATCCAGCACATACTGGAAAGGGCCTTTCCTGCTGTCGAACACCCTTATCTGGATTCCTAATCTTTCATCTGCTTTAGCCAAATAAGCTTGATAATATCTGGTAATCAGTCCCCAAACAGGATTTGTGGGGTGGAATAGATATCGACCTAAGAGGTGAAAAACTGTTTCTTTTCTAGGGAAGAGGTCACTCAGTTCCTGCTCAAAGGAAGGCATAAGGAATAGAGAAGGGATAAAGTAGTTATCTGTTTTCAAGATCAACCAAGGTACTTTCTGCAAAAAAGTTTGGTCTTCATCACAGAAGAATAGCTTATCTTGGTCATCATAATCATGGACCAAATGGAGATAAACAAAAGAAGATGACATTGACCTACTTAAATTAGTAAATGTGCTATTCTTCAGCATTCTCCCGTAACAGTGAGGAGAGTTCTGATTGAAGCTGTTGAATTCATTTTTCAGAGGGAAATCAGAAGGGAGAAACCAGGAGACTTCTGGAAATGGTTCACAAAAAAGATCGACCATATCAACACCAGGATCAACCAGTAGAACACGATCTGTAAGGAGGGCATAAAGAAATGCTGAAGCTAGGGTCAGTATCCTATTCCCTAATCCACTAAAGGAAATCCATACTACATAACTACAGTCTGTGGATTCAAGGGGATGGCCAGTTTTCAGTTTTTCTAAGGTTCTATTGTAGGATTCCGTATAGGGCCCACATCGTTTATGGAGTGCCTCATAACTCCGTAACCTTGAAATGAGGTTAGGAGAAGGCTTATATAGTAGTTCTTTGCGATAAAAAGCTGACTGATATCTGCTGATACAAGATCTTTCATCAAATCCAGATGCAATAAGTCCACCAAGCAGCTTATCCTTCACTTCAACTGATGGGGTATCAACATCTGAACCCAGTAAAAGCTCAAGTCAGTTCGACAAAACAGATAGTTAAGAGAGGCAAATGATCTTGCAATGACATCAAATCAAAAGTCCCAAATTGTATTCAACACAACTTTTAGTCTGCATGTCTGTTACATTTAAAAGACCTCCTATTATATCAAAACAAACTTGCAACTTTAACTTCATTCAATTTGGAAAAAGAACTGAAAACATGAAATAGAACAAAAATTTGACAGGAATAGTTTACAAATTCTAA